GGCATTAATGAACCTCTTCACCTTAAGTGGTACTTAGCACATATTGCAAACACTTCTAGTAAACCCCAGAATGAGGTTTGTAAGGAGCTGACTGAGGAGATCTCTGAGCCATTAGTGATTATCTTTGAAAAGTCGTGGATTATGGGAGAGATTCCAGAGGACTGGAAAAGGGCAAATCTAGTGCCCACCTATAAAAAGGGAAATAAGGACAACTCAGGGAATTAGACCAGCCAGTTTAACGTTGGTACTCAGAAAGGTAATGTGGCAATAATCAAGAAATCAGTTTGCAAATGCCTAAAAAACAACGTGAGAAATAACAGCATAGATTTGTCAAGAACAAATTGTATCAAACCAACATAACAGGGTAACAGTCCTTTTGTATGATAGGAAGGGGTAGATGTGTTATATCTTGACTTTAGTAAGGGTTTTGATACTGTCTTGCATGACCTTCTTGTAAACAAACTAAAGAAGTACACCAGGAGGGCTCTACTAAAAGATGGGTGCAAAACCGGTTGGAAAACTTCCGAGATATTTATCAATGGTTCACAATCATGCTGGAGGGGCAAAACGAGTGGGTTCTGCAGGGGTCTGTTTTGGGACTGGGTCTGTTTATCAACGTTTTAGATATTGGCATAGAGAGTACGATTATTAAGTTTGAGGATGATCCCAAGCTGGGAGGGGTCACAAGTGCTTTGGAGGACTGGACAAACTGAAGAAATGATCAAAAGTAAACATGGTCAAATTCAGTAAGGACAAATGCAGTGCTCCAGTCAGTTTCACACACAGAATAGGCAGTGACTAGGAAGGAGCGCTGCGGGAAGGGGTCGGGACGTCATAATGGATCGCAAACTGAGTCAACAGAGTAACACTGTTGCAGAAAGAGCAAACATTTTGGGATGTGTGAGCAAGACATGAGAAGTCTTTCTCCTGTTCTGCTCTGCGCTGATTAGGCCTCGGTTGCAGTATTGTGTCCAACTGGGCACCACACGGCAGGAAAGATGTGGCTGAATTGGAGAAGATCCCGAGAAGAGCAACACCAATGATTAAAGATCTAGAGAACGTGACCAGTGATTGAAGAGTGAAAGAATTGGGTTTGGAGAAGAGAAGACTGAGAGGGAACATCATAGCTTTCAAGTACCTAAAAAGTTAGTCAGGGATGGTACTTGGTCCTGTCGTGAGGGCAGGGGACTGGACTCGATGACCTCTCAAGGTCCCTTCCAGTTCTAGGAGATAGGTATAGCTCCATGTATGGAGATATACCTAAGTTGTTATAAGGAGGCGGGAGGGAAATTCTTGTTAACCTCTGAGGATAGGACAAGCAGGATGGGTCCACAGTTCTTTCCGGCTCATTGATCCCTGCAGTCCTGCATCTGGGCTGAAGAGCTGAGTTGAGCACAAAATGGAGGATGCCACATGGCCCCTATATACCTGCTTCCTCATCTCTTCTTGGCTGCAGCAGGTCACCTGGCCCGTGGCCTGTCCCTGTGTTCCCTGCTGGTAGCCCTTAGCTATCAGTCCCCATTCTTGAGGTGTGTCCTTGGCCTAGAGAGGGCTGTTGTTCCATGGAGACTTGCTCATTAGCATGTCCATAGACTGAGCATTCTTCATCTATTGCTCAGCCACAAACAGAGAATTTTCCAATATTGACACAGAGTTACATATTCATAATGTCACACCCAGACCTTATACAGGTCTGTGAAGAGCATATGTAGAATCAGAAGAAAGTAAGCTTTCATGTGACACCTCACATGGCCCCTTTGTACCACTTCTGGGGCAAACACCCCTCCCCCATGGGTGCAGCAGTGACCTGGCTGCTCCCCTCACGATCCAGTAACGTGGCAGCAGGAAACAAAGATGCTCGATCCAGTTTAGACACAAGTCAAAGATCCTCCTCTGCCAGGGCACCGCCACTAGCCCTCTGGAGTGTTCGCTCCGTGGCCGTTGGCTCTTCCCTCTGCCCGGGGGAGGCTCAGGCAGGCCGTGCGTCTTGCTGCCGGCAGGAGGGAAACGAGAACCTCAGTGCCAGCTCCGGCTGGAGCCAGGGAGGGTTCCCTGTTCCTCGGTGAGCTCTCTGGGGCGCCGGTTCCTCCTGCCGCTTTTCAGGGGATGCCCGTTCCCAGGGACACGAGGAGTGGATTTGTGGGGGGAGCAGCATCTGCCAATAGCGGGGAGAATCTCTGCAGCACCCGCCCTGCTTAACTGCTTCCCAAAAAGCGCCTCCTCTGCCAGCCGGCATGAGGTTGGGTGAATGCAAAGCAGGAAGGCTCGCCAGTGTGATTAACGGAGAGAAACTCGCCGAGGTCGTTTTCTCACCAGACCGGTCTCTGGATCAGCCACCTGCTCCCGTTAGGACCATGAGTGTCTCCATCTCTCTCCTCCCGCTGTGTGTTAGTCCCCAGGCCGCCGGCAGGGCATCTGGCCCCCATTCCCCTGCCCCGTGCCCCTCCCCCCTTCTGCAGCTGGGCGTCTGGAAGCCAGGCACTCCAGGCCAGCTCAGAGACACCACAATGAGTGTCAGTGTCAGAATGGCGTGTTCAGAGAGGCAGGGTGGCCGTGGCCGTTCCCCGGGGGTCTCAAGTCTGCTGGCTGAGCTCTTTGGAAAGAGCAGCGTGCGGGGAAGAGCCAGTTCCCCCACTGATTCCCATAGGGTGTTTGGGTTTTGCCCTGCACCATGTGCATGCATGAGAGTGTGCAGAGCACGACAGTCTCTTATGAACCGACCGCCTACTTCAAGTGTGGCCAGCCAGGGGCAGCGGTAAATCTAGTGGGAGGGGACTCACCCAGGAGAGGCGTGTGCGGCGTGTGACATCAGTTCCACGTTTTCTGGAATGCTCGGCCACCAATTTTTGGTCAGCTGAACAGTGCCAATGAGGTGGGAATGGGGAGAAGGCAAACCGCTGTCCGGGGGGGCTTGGCTGGGGGTGACAGGGATGTGCCGTCTGTGTTACCTGACCACCTCTGCTTGTTTTGCTCTTTCCATTCCTCAGAGCGCGTCGGACGGATTTTGGAAGTCAGTGGCAACCCGTGTCCCAAGGGAACCCCATGAGATCCGCATCCTGAATCCATACTTCATCCAGGAGGCAGCGTTCAGCTTCATTGGTCTGCCCTTCAACAATGGCCTGATGGGCAGAGGGGTAGGTGCGAGCTGGGGCACAGAAAGCGGGGGTGGGGGGGAGAGAAGATGGCACCAGCTCTTAGTTTGTTTACACCGCTGATGCTGGTTGAAAAAGAAACGAAAACATTCCAAGATGCCCCATGGGTGCAAGGCCTTAAAACCGTGTATTGTATCGTGTCGTTTGGAAGCTGTGAAATCTAGTGGGAGGGGACTCACCCAGGAGAGGCGTGTGCGGCGTGTGACATCAGTTCCACGTTTTCTGGAATGCTCGGCCACCAATTTTTGGTCAGCTGAACAGTGCCAATGAGGTGGGAATGGGGAGAAGGCAAACCGCTGTCCGGGGGGGCTTGGCTGGGGGTGACAGGGATGTGCCGTCTGTGTTACCTGACCACCTCTGCTTGTTTTGCTCTTTCCATTCCTCAGAGCGCGTCGGACGGATTTTGGAAGTCAGTGGCAACCCGTGTCCCAAGGGAACCCCATGAGATCCGCATCCTGAATCCATACTTCATCCAGGAGGCAGCGTTCAGCTTCATTGGTCTGCCCTTCAACAATGGCCTGATGGGCAGAGGGGTAGGTGCGAGCTGGGGCACAGAAAGCGGGGGTGGGGGGGAGAGAAGATGGCACCAGAACTTAGTTTGTTTACACCGCTGATGCTGGTTGAAAAAGAAACGAAAACATTCCAAGATGCCCCATGGGTGCAAGGCCTTAAAACCGTGTATTGTATCGTGTCGTTTGGAAGCTGTGAGCGTCGAATCGGGCTGTCGTATTGCTGCGTGCACACGTGGGCAGAGTTAAGGGTATCTGTGCAGCTTCGTGGCATTTCTGTTCACTTAGTTTGTTTACACCGCTGATGCTGGTTGAAAAAGAAACGAAAACATTCCAAGATGCCCCATGGGTGCAAGGCCTTAAAACCGTGTATTGTATCGTGTCGTTTGGAAGCTGTGAGCGTCGAATCGGGCTGTCGTATTGCTGCGTGCACACGTGGGCAGAGTTAAGGGTATCTGTGCAGCTTCGTGGCATTTCTGTTCCCGGGGTGCTTTATCCAGCAGCCTTAACGTTCCATCCGTTTTTCCTACTGGATTAATCCCTCCAGCCCTGAGATCGTTTATTTCTCTTCTCCTGACTCCCTTGGGTTGGTCAGTAGCCTGGCAATGAGGAGGCCAGAATTTGAATGCAGCATTTTAGGGGTGGTCACCCCGGCGTCATACGGAGAGAGACTGTGAACCCTTTACTGTGTGGTGTCCCGGCGTGGCGCACAGCCCAGACTGTGTCCCACGTGGGCGCCAGGCCAGCCTTCGAAGGTAGGGTGGGTTGGCTTCCATCCTCACTGACGAGAGCAGGCCTGCATCTATCCAAGAGCCTTGTGGTCCGCTCCTGTCACCTGACCAGATCCGACCAAGAGGCCTCTAGCCCTGGTGCCTCTCCGCGGCGTGGCCGGCGAGTGCTGTATCGCAGAACGCCCACAGCGCACGGGCAAACGGCACGCTCACGGGACCGTGTGGCGCTTACCGGCTCAGGCGCTCACCGCGGAGGAAATGCCAGTGAAGGGGCCTGTGCGGTCTGACGTCCGCCCCTCGGGGCAGTCGTTGCTCCGACAATTACAGACGGTCGCTTCCACCCCACTCCTGCCTCATGTGGTGCACAGGCTGCAGCCCGCTCCCCTCCTGCATCTCCAGCTCCTTTCCGCACCCAGCCTCCATCCCAGAGCCCGCGCGTCTCTGAGGAGCCAGCGTTCAGTACACGTCCTGGTGGGCTGGTGCGAGATCCCGCCGAGCGGCCGGTCTTGGGTCTGCATGAGCCAGCTCTCAAAGGGGGGGGCTTCCGCAGCTGGCAAGTTGAGGGGACGCTGGTCCCTGCTCAGCGTGCCCCGCCGGCTGGACTGTGAGATACTGAGAGCTGCTGCCGAGTAGGGTTTTCCTGGGTTTGTCTAGGCTTTATTCCCTAGCTTGTTTAGGGGCCAGTCTTCCTGACGTCGAGATACATCACACCTCCTGCTTCTCAGTCCACAAGGCTCTTCCCCTGCCAGGACAGTATGTTCTGTTCTTGGCACGTCCATGTGGACTGTTACAGATTGGTCTGAATTCCCTGGGCTGTCCTCGCGACTCCTTTTATAGATAGGTGCCGTATTTGCCCCTTTTCAGTCCTCTGTGGGTTCTCCGGGACAATAGGTGGGGCCCCACAGAACTCACAGGCATGGCCTGGGAAGTTTGGTCTTTGTGTCTTTTACCCCATTGTATGCAGATTTCACGGCAGGACCCGTGTTTTTCAGACTGGGGATCCTGTCCCAAAAGACAGCTGTGGGGAGGTGATTGAGGTGGAGTTGCAGTAAAGCCACCCTTCCTTCTGCGCTGCCTTCAGAGCTGGGGGCAGAAGAGCAGGGGCTGCTGGCCAGGAGCCCAGCTCGGAAGGCCGCGCCCTCTGAGCGGGAGCAGAGACACGAGCATGGCAATACCATAGCAGGCCACCCTTCCTTCTGCGCTGCTGCCTTCTGGGTTGGATCAGGGCCCTGCAGTTACAGCACCATGAAATTGACCAAAATGGACTGTGAATTTGGTAGGCTCCTGCTAATGGCTCAGAGATCTCTCCAGCTCTTCCTTTAGTATTCTAGGGTGTATTTCATCGGGTCCTGCTCCCTGAAGACTTGTCTAAGGCGTTCTTAGCTGGTTTCCCGTTCTAGCCTTAGGCGGTTCCCCATTTACACCGATAGTCACAGTGGTCGTCTCTGATCACCGCTAGCCCTTCTGGTGAGCACTGAAATCAAAACCGCAATGGACACGTTGCTGTTTGCTCTCTTTTTTGGTTACCGACTTTTTCCCTTCATGAGGAATGGGCCTATCCAGTCCTTGGCCGTTTTCTTGCTTCTCGTGTACTTGTGAAATGCTTCCTTGTTACCCCAGCGAGTTTGGTCTTGTTCTCTCGTCTCTGATCACCGCTAGCCCTTCTGGTGAGCACTGAAATCAAAACCGCAATGGACACGTTGCTGTTTGCTCTCTTTTTTGGTTACCGACTTTTTCCCTTCATGAGGAATGGGCCTATCCAGTCCTTGGCCGTTTTCTTGCTTCTCGTGTACTTGTGAAATGCTTCCTTGTTACCCCAGCGAGTTTGGTCTTGTTCTCCTACACGCTGGTGTTGTTTTTTAATAATCACCCTTTGTCATCTGACAACTGAATAGTTTCCACATTTTGTGACTATTTTTTGAGTGTCAGGTTATTGAATATCTTCTGCTTGTTAAGCCAGGGTGGAGTCTTAACCCTACCTCCTTCCTTCCTATGCATTGCTTTTGTGCCTTTAATAATGGCTCTTTAAAAACCCGTAAACTCTCCTGAACTCCTTTTCCCCTGAGAGACGCTTCCCACAGAATCTTACCTGCCAGTTCTGGAGCTTGCTAAAGTCTGCCGCCCTGTCTTCCAAACCAGTGAGCGGCCCTGTGGCCCCTTGGAGACTAACCAAAATAGATAGAATCAGACGCTTTCGTGGGTAACGCTCATCATTTACATATTGTGGTTCGTCTCCAAGGGGCGACTGAACTCCTTTTCCCCTGAGAGACGCTTCCCACAGAATCTTACCTGCCAGTTCTGGAGCTTGCTAAAGTCTGCCGCCCTGTCTTCCAAACCAGTGAGCGGCCCTGTGGCCCCTTGGAGACTAACCAAAATAGATAGAATCAGACGCTTTCGTGGGTAACGCTCATCATTTACATATTGTGGTTCGTCTCCAAGGGGCGAAAGGACCACTCGTCGTTTTTAAAGTTACAGACTCACGCCCCCGCCCCCAGTCTTATTCACTGCTTTCCCTCCTCCCGCCCTGCGAATTAGGAATGCTTTCACCCCCACCTTCCCCATTCCAGCTCTCAACCAGTCCCTCCCTGTCAGAATCCGATGTAGAACAGCCTGCCCCCTACTTGCTTTCTCCACCGTCTTCAGTCAAAGGGCGTCACCGATCCATTCACCAGGTACGCTGTGCCTCGCTCTTGTCTGGATAGTTGTCATGACCGCCACTACCACATTCCATGGAAAGCAAATATTTTCCCTGTTTGCCATCTGCAAACACCTGGAAGATAACAGGGTGCTAGGTAACAAATCATGTCAAACCAACCTGAGAGCTTTCTTTGATGGGATAATGAGTCTTGTGGAGAAGGGAGAAGCGGTGGACGTGGGATACCTAGACTTTAGTAAGGCGTTTGATACAGTCTCACGTGACCTGCTCATTAATAAACAAGGGAAAAACAACCTAGATGGAGCTACTGTAATCGAGATGGGTACAGAACTGGTTGGATAATAGTCCCTAAAGAGTAGTTGTCAGTGGTTCAGTCATGTTGGAAGGGCAGAACAAGTGGGGTTCCACAGGGGTCTGTTTTGGGACCGGTTCTGTTCAATATCTTCATCAATGATTTAGATATCGGCATAGAGAGGAAACTTATTAAGTTTGCCGATGATCCCAAGCTGGGAGGGGTTCCCACTGCTTTGGAGGATGGGTCAGAATTCAAAATGATCTGGACAAACTGGAGAAATGGTCTGAGGTCAACAGGATGAAGTTTAATAAGGACAAATGCAAAGTGCTCCACTTAGGAAGGAACAATCCAAGGGTATGTCTACACTACCCTCCTAATTCGAACTAGGAGGGTAATGTAGGCATACCGCACTTGCAAATGAAGCCCGGGATTTGAATTTCCCGGGCTTCATTTGCATAAGCGGGGAGCCGCCATTTTTAAAACCCCGCTGGTTCGAACCCCGTGCAGTGGTTCAAATCCCGGGCTTCATTTGCAAGTGCGGTATGCCTACATTACCCTCCTAGTTCGAATTAGGAGGGTAGTGTAGACATACCCTGAGATGGAACAAAACAGCTTTCAGATACCTCAAAGGATGTTATAAGGAGGAGGGAGAAAAATTGTTCTCTTTGGCCTCTGAGGACAGGACAAGAAGCAAAGGGCTTAAACTGCAGCCAGGGAAGTTTACAATGGAGATTAAGGAAAACTTCCTGGCAGGGAGGTGAAACACCAGAATAAGTTGCCTAGGGGGGTTG